AGAGCAACACACATCTCTGAAATTCATTTTCACCGAATATTTTTACATTCAGGTAAAGCTTCCTCCCACACTGAAAGCACACTGCACAAGCCTAGCCCCAGCAAACTCATTTACAAAAAGATGCAAATCAGTGTTTCAAATGCTGATGGTGCCTGTCAGCACACACAGGTTTGACTGTCAGAGGTGGATATTCTTTGTTTACCAATAAATTCAAATCTGTTCACCCAGGAAAGCTTTAAAGCTTTCAGAGGCACACGGTGACAGGAGAAAGCACTGAATGCTCAGGCTGGGAGGGGATGCCCCAGCTGCTGGCAATTCACAGGCAGCTGAAGGCAGCTGGGAGGGGGCCCTGCACCTTCACCAGTGTAAAGATACACCTGGCTGGGACAGGGTGAGTGCTGGGGAAGAGCAGGGCCAAGAGCTCCAGCAAGCTCAGAGGGAGTGCTGCCAGCAGGAACCAGCCATTGTGAAGGGGGGCTAAGAGGCAAAGGGGATGAAAGTCATGATGAAATGATTCTTTAGCTATTTCTTTTAAGTAATGGACAGATTTGATTTCTTTTTTTCCTCTGTAGAAGATGCCAGCTCACTCTGGCCCATCAGATAACAACTGCTGACAGGCATCCAGAATTAACAGGCAATTTGAAGCTACTTCTGGCTCTTGTGAATGTTTCTGTTGGTCCTGTGTAATGGCTGCACAGCTCAACAGCAATTCCCTGTGATATGCCAGGCTTCTTCTGGCATCCTTAGTCACCAGCTAGGAGCTGCATTGCACAAAACTAACAGATTCCTCTTTTCAGACTGTTGTCTGTGTTTCTACAGCTCCCCTGCTTTTGGGGGTCCCTGGGCTCTGTTTCCTCTGTAAGCAGCATGTCACAGGCTGTAGCAGCTCCAGAGTGTTGGATTTCCCTGCAGTCCCTGTGCCACAGGAGAGCTGTTGGGCTGTACAGGCACTGCTGCTACTATGAGAGGATTTATTAGCCCCATCCTTCTGTAATATCACACACAACAAATACTCTGCCACTTTATTTTATTTTTTCCCCCCTGCCTTCTTCCAGGAGGTCTCCATGGGCTATAATGCCAACACACCATGATTTAGCCTTGCCCCAGTCAAGTTCATTTTGGGAGCAGGAAGTGAAGCCCTTACTTAGGGATAAGGGAATGCTCCTTCCTCCAGCCCATTTAAATCAATACAATTCCTCTTACTGAGAGTCTTCCCTGGTTTGATATTATAAATGAGGTGTTCCTTGGAGCTGTGGCAAGAGATTTGTGGCAGTAGTAATGCTAAATTTAATTTCCTGGGATTCAGTCTCAAACAATTGATAAAGCTGGTTATTCAGGAGCCATTCAAAAGTCCTAAGCTGTAAGTGTATTTATTAACTCCACTGTGCTTACAGCAGCCCGGGAATTCCACTTGGTGGAATTTCTGTCTGTTTTCCACTAGCGTATGAGCACAGATTACTGGGACTAGAACAGTATTTGTGTTGCAAGTTGCCTTTCAGAAAAACCCAAACGAATGGTAAATGTGTTGAAAATGGGGAGGGAAAAGCAGGTTCTTGTATTTCAGTCATAAATACATACTTAATAAAATATATGATAAATTGGGAAAAACACATGTACTGATGTAGGCCACCTGTAAGATTAATCTGAGGACAGAGGTGAGAGGGATTTTTATCACATAAATGTTATTTTGTGCCTTTTACTGAAGCTGTGGTGGTATCAAAGTGATGACTCGAAGTCCTGTTTGCTAGCACAAGGAGACTGTGCTCACATCTTCCTCCTTGAACAGCCATAGCAGAGGCAGGCTGGGGAAACTCCAGGGAGTTTAGGGGAGCCTTGGGAACAAGGAACTGCACGAAGGGACTCACTGTGCATGTTTGTGTTTGGGTAGGTGTGTGAGGGCTGCCTCGTGGGGCACGGATGGAACAGGCAAGTAGGTGTGCAGGAATCCAGCAGGACATGAAGCACTCTGAGGCAGCAAGAGCAGCCAGCCCAAGGTACTTCTGTTAGATTGAAACAATCCTTGGAGGCTTCACAAGCGTTTGAACCTCAAAGGCAAATCACAAAGTGTGGCTAAACTTACATGACAGCCTGCCTGTGAACCAGCAGTAGCATTCAACTCCTCTGGCCTTAGGTTGTGTACATGTGCAGAGTTCATCTCTCCTTTCCTTTGTTGTTGCTGCTCTCTGTCTGCTTAACTCTTCTGCACTGGTTTCCCCCTTTGATTTATTTTTTGCTTGTGTTACCCATCTCAAGAGACTGAGTCACAGTAGTAATCTGTTTGAACTCCTACCTGCAAATTTCCTTGCTCTCAGTACATTTTCTGGCACACAACTGATTCAGCTTCCCAGAAGGATCTGTCTCTTGGGAGAGCAGAGCTTTCCTCTCTATTACCAAGGTCTCTCTCTGTCTGACTATCCCTTGGCCCCATTTTAAACCACCCATCAAATGATCACTCAGCTTTTCCATAACCATTCCATTAGCAGTTTCCTTCCCTCTCTCACAGCTTACTTCCAGCTCTGTGTTCAACACCCTTATTTCTGCTGATGCCATTTAAGTTCTGGAGCTTCATCCTTTGACTCTCCTTGTGACACCTGCTCTCACATCCCTTAAACCTTCCTGTGCTGCTGACACTGCCTCATGCAAGAGACTCTCCTACTCCACTTCTGATGTACAAGGGGAGTCTCTAAATACATCCTGAGTGCCACCCTTGAGGACAGTCTTGAAAGATTCATCCTGGCTCAGCCAAGCCTCTCTGTTTGCTCCACTTCTGCCTCTGGGCCATTGGCATCTGAATGAATTGACCAGTCACACAAAAACGTTTTCTGAGCACTGGGTTTTCTGACTGAGTGATAGATATCAAAATGCCAGTCAGCTCTTCTCCTTTCTTTGTGTGGAGTAACATGTGAAGACTGGGAGAGTCTGCAGCCCATTATGGCTGGATGAGAAGGCAGGAGGATGATGCCAGTCAGGATTTCCTAGGGGAACAGAAGATGGTCCCCCCCTCAGTACTTGCCCTGCCAAACAACTTTTTCATGGGCTAGTCACCAACATGGGTACATGATCCAAACTGATGCAGGAGATAGCCCCTGCTGCTGGCCAAGTTTGATTTTCCCCTTGCATCCAGGTTCTCTTCCACTTGCTCCCAGTGGCCCTGATGACTACAGCCAGCAGAAAATGGTCTGTCTGGACCTTAATGCAGCTGGAGTTCCCGAGTGAGGAAGAACTCTCTTGCAGAGAGGAGGCCTGAGGAGCTGGCTCTAACAGCAGAGTGGCTGGCTCTCTCAGCTCCAGTCTCCACATCAGAACTCTGCCAGAAGCACCAGCCTTTTCCTGCAGCTGATGTACCATGCTCTGGTCACATCTGCCCAGCCCAGAGCAGGGCAGGAGGGGCCCAGCCCAGCCATCCTTGGGGATAGCAGCAGGCACAGGGCTGCTGGGCACAAGCACTGGGGAGCCACGAGATCCTGTGTGCTCTCTGCCAGCACAGGAGCTGCCCTGGCAGTGCCAGTTCCAGCTGTCAGGAAGAACTCACTCCACACACTGGAACACATCCCCAGAGACACTAAGGAATGTCCCTCCCTGGAGACACTCAAGAACTGCCTGGACACAATCCTGTGCCGTGTGCTCTGGTATCACCTGCTGGAGCAGGGAGGTGGCACCAAATGACCCACTGTGGTCCCTTCCAACCCCAGCCACTCTGGGATTCTGTAGCAAGGTGGGTTACCTCATCACAAAAGGAACCTGCAGGAGCCGGTGCTGCCCCAGGGCCCCACTGCACTCCCCCCACCTCCTTTCCTGTACATCTGAGCAGCCCCAGGAGCCCACAGGGGACCCCTGAGGACACCTGACTTCCCTTTGCCAGCCCGTTAATCCCCTCCTGCTGCCAGGCTCACACACCCCCTTCTTTTCTTGGCACACCCACAGGATGGGATTCCTCCTGCCATGCCCCAGGCGTGCCAGGGGGCACCAGCCCTGCCAGCACTCTGTGCCTCACCAGTTGCCAGGGGTGCAGCAATGTCACCGCTGCCACAGCTCTGCCTGGCAGGGGCCACCACAGGCAGCTTTCCCTGCCTCCTGTGTCTGTAGCCAGCAGAGGAGCTGCCCTGGCAGCCCCAGGTTCTGCCTGCAGCATCATCCCCAGCTGTGTCCACGTCCCCCACACACAGAAGGTCCAAGCCAGGCTCCTTCTCATGAAAGTCTATTGAAGCAGGCATGCAGGTTGAGGTGGCTACCGCAGCACAGCACTGGGCTCCTGTTCCCGCTGGGTGCTGCTGTGTTAGCCCATCCAGGACGGGCAGGGCGCTGTCACCTCGTGGGGGTGTCTCTGCGTCCCAGGTCCTCTGCATCCCCTGGGGAGCTGCCGTGTTCTCTTGTTCCCGGCAGGGGCTGGGCTCCCGGTGCTGTCACAGCGCCGGCAGGCGTGCTGGCCTGGCAGGAAGCCCTGCAGGGGTCGGTGCACAGCCCGGCGGCCGCCAGGGTCTGCTGGGCGCTGCCCGGGGCTGTGGCACAGGCCCCCGCACCGGGGGACGGGCACTGATCGGGGGCAGAGCTCTGTGGGGCCGGGCAGCCTGGGGCTGCCCACCCGGCTGACTGAGCCGGGGCAATCCTTGGCGCCCTGGGGGTCGCCTGGGTCTCCGGGGCGCTTCCTGGCGCGGTGACAACCTGTGCAGGGGACGGCTATTGATCGGGGGCTGAGCTTCCTGGGGGTGAGCTAACTGAGGCTCAGCATCCTCGGCTTGCCCAGCCAGGTGGAGGAGCTCCTGGCTCCTGGCAGAACCGTCCGGAGGTAGCCAGGAACTCCTGGTCGCTCCCCGGGGCAGTGGCACAGGCCCCCTGTGCAGAGGACAGCTGGTGGTCGGCTGCAAAGCTGTCTGGGGTTGAGCTTCCTGGGGCTGCCCGACCACCAGGTGAAGGAGCCATGGCAACTCCTGGTCTCCAGCAGAGTAACCTGGGGGTCGCTGGGGGCTCCTGGTGGCTCCCTGGGTTGGTGGTCCTGTCACTCTATCCATGGAACGGCTACTGATCAGGGGCTGAGCTTCCTCGGGCTGCCCATTGAGGTGAAGGAGCCATGGCAGCTCCTGGCTCCCAGCAGAGCAGTCCGGGGGCCGTGGCAGTGCTGGAGGGTCAGATTTGGGCAGGCAGCGGCTGCCCTGCAGCCCCATAGGGGGCAGCTTTTCCTGTGCCACCCTCGACCAGGGAACCTTGGTGGCTCTCTTCCCTGAGGGTGCAGAGCTGGGGAGCTTGTCCTGGGATCGATGCTCTGCCGACCGGGGCTTCTTCAGGGAACAGCCCGTGACCATCAGCCTCAGCCCCGCAGTCAGACACGAGGACACGGCTGCCTGCAGGAGGACACAAGGGGCAGTGGGGGCTCAGGGTGCCTGGGGGGTGGCTGTCCCCAGTCCCCAGCCTACCTCCCTGTAGAGGAGCTCAAAGGCACCAATGGAGCAGGTGGGGTCGTCCTTGCGGTCGAGCACGAGGCGCAGCGTGTCCCGCTGGACGTTGGCACACAGCTGGCGTGTCACCGCCGAGGAGGGGCTCATGGTGGGGCAGGAGTTGATCTCCAGCAGCCAGGGCTGGAGGTCCTCCCCGATGAGGAAGTCGGCCCCGAAGAGCTCAAAGCTGCCCTTGCGGGAGCCCACCTCATCCCGGGCGCAGCGCAGGGCGTTCAGGATCGCCGCCTTCATGCCGGGCACCACCACCCGCTGCCAAGCGTTTGCCTGCCCCAGCCATGCCAGGTGGGCCTGGAACTGCTTGTTGGACCAGATCTTGTCAGGGGGCACACGGGGGTCCGGCTGCCATGTTTTGTACCGCTTCTGGATGGAGACGTTGCAGAGGTGCCTGGCGCTGGGACAGGGAGAGCGGGGCTGAGTCAGGGGGGACACTGACCCGACCGAGGGGCTGGGCAGTGCCAGCCAGGGCTCAGGGGGGACACTCACGGCTCCAGGTGGCACAGGGAGAAGGGCCGGGAGCAGAAGCGCAGGTAGCAGTCTCGGTAGAACCAGACAGTCAGTGGCTTCCAGTCGGTCACCAAGAACCACTGCCGGATGTCGAATTTGGTGTTGAAGATGGTCAGCGGCCGCTCCACGTACTTCTGCACCACCCACTCGCACACGCCCGCCGGGGTGCCCACGCAGCTCTGCGCCAGCTCCAGCACCTCCTCCAGCCGCGCCGCGCACACGATGCCTGGGCAACACAGGGACGGTGGGACCCCTTCTCCGCGGGGATGTGTGTGCCCCACGCCTCCCCCAGCCTTACCCCTGCCACGGGATTTGGCGCTGGGCTTGACGATCCAGACGTTGAGGCTGCCCTCTATGCCGAGCTGCGGCAGCTTCTCCTCCAGGCGCTGCAGCAGCTCCTGGCACCGCTCCTGCTGCTCCCTGCCCAGCTCCAGCCTGGCCCCTTCACTGTGGGGGGACATGGGGAGTCAGCACCAGCCCCACCACCGTGCCCCCCGCCCCGTCTCGCTCAGCACCCACTGTGCCACACGGTAGTATTCCGGCAGGAAGCGGTCCCAGTCGATGCATGTCCGGCAGGGCGACGGGGTGCTCCTGTCGATGTCCTGGTGCCCCAGAACTCCCAGGTGCTGCTCACAGACCTCCAGAGCTTCCTCCAGCAGCTGGGGATACAGGGGGGAGTGCGGCCCTGCTGTGGACAGCATGAGGTGAAATTCATGACTCCTACGCCAGCCTTGGGGCCAAAGCCCTGAGCCTTCCTGTGGGACAGGTGCCTTTCGAGCTAGGGCAGGGGACGGAGTAAGGGATCCCAAGCCACAGACATGAGCAGAGGCTCAGCCTCCAAGCTCAGCCCTCAGACATGCCCTGAACTCCCCATTTCATCCCTCACCTCCGCCCTGCTCAGCCAGCTCCGTGCGCTCACCCAGCACCTCGTCGGGTTTTGAGGGCTGCTCTGTCCCCACCGGCCTGTCCCCGACCTTCTGCAGGGCCAGTTTGAGAAGGCTGCGAGCTGCTGTCAGGCAGAAATCGTCTGCAAGAGGAAAGCATCATCCCTAGCCAGTCCTGCACAGGACATGGGAAGACTGGAGCACGAGGGGTGACAGGAGGGCAGCAGCCCCTGGCTCACCAATGAAGGCTTCCTTCTCATCCTTGAACCCCAGCCGGTAGCACCGGGGGAAAAAGGTGTTGAAGTCAACTTGCTCGAACCAGGACAGGTTTTGCAGGCTTTGGCATAGCCCCTCCTGTTTAGAGAAGCTGGTCATTTCCTTCTGCACACCTGAACCCCTTGTGTCCCCTCCCTGAGGCCCCCGTGCTCCCACCTTAGTACAAAGCGCAGCCAGCCGGGGATAGCGGTTCACCACCTCAATCCTCGGCAGCAGCTCCTGGTCAACACTGCTCAGGCGAATGGTCCAGAGGAAGTTTGGCACCTGGTCCTGCACCAGGAAGGACTGTGGGAGGGAGTGGGCTGGGGTGAGCCAGGGAGCCCCCATCCTGCCCCAGCCCCTCACCCCAGGCTGAGCCCTGCCCCTGAGGGTCCCAGGGGAGGACGTGGGGAGCTGTGGCAGAGCTCAGCCCTAGCCCCCTTAGCTAACCATGAGGTCATGGATGTCTTCAGAGTCCTCACTGCTCTGCTCCTTGTCTTCCTTCTCGTCTTCATCTTCCCTTTCGCCCTCGTTCTCCTTGCCGTGTGCTGTGCAACATGGGTGCTGCAGGGGCTCTGCGGTGCCCAAGGAAGGCTGTGCCCCACCGGGCGGGTTCAGCACTTCCTCCCCCTGCTCATCACCACCACCACTTGCCCCCTTGTCCAGCTGCTGTTTGCTTTGGTCGGCAGGCTTCTGCTTCAGTTGCTTGCGATTGAGGGGCAGCTTCCTCTCCACCCAGCCCCGGGCGCGCAGCAGCCGGCGGATGACGGGGTAGGGGCCGTGCACGGTGAAGATCTTCTTCTCCTGCGGGACAGCAGCCAGCTCAGCCTGCCCTCCCCAGAGCTCCGGCTCGGCTCTGCTGAGCCACAGGGGCACAAATGCCAGCATGTGCCATCTCGGGGCACTGTGAGATCGAACCCCTCACCTTAATGGCCTTCTCCACGCGCAGCCTGGCCTTCCTGAGCCGCTCCGACTCAGCCGTGTACTGCTGGCCATCGTGGTAGCCGATGGTGGCAGCTGCCACCTGCCCTGTGAGGACAGCCCCACCTGAGCCCGCTGCCCCCGTGTCCCCAGCCCCACGGGGTGGGCAGGGAGGGGGAGAACATGCTGACCTGTCTGCCTCTGCCTCACCACGTCTGGGGATCCTGCCATGGCATTTCCGGACGTGCCAAGCCTTCTGCCAGCATCCCAGCTGCACTCCACAGCCTCGAGATGCTGCACTGTTCCCTTGTCCTTGACCTGCTGGGCCAGGGGCAGCTGGGGTGTCAGCTGCTCAGGTACTGCCCCTGGCTGAGGGGCTGGGTGCCTGCTGGGCTGCTCTGTGTCACACTGTCCCAGGCCAGCCTGATGGCAAGGGGAGCTGTGGGTGGCTCTGCCTCCTCCAGGCCAAGCAGGTTTTCCTATTCCCCCATCCCTTAGGGACTGCAGTGGGTGTCCTGCACAGGACACAGCCTCCTTATTCCATCACCACTGTGATGCCACAATGCAGGGTGCTCAAAGCAGCCTCAATACACAAGTCCTGGTTCCCCCCTCTTGTGAGGGACTTTAACCACCCTGACAGCTGGAGAGGCAACACAGCAAAGTGCAGACAGTCCAGGAGGTTCCTGGAAAGCTTTGATGATCCCTTCCTGACACAGGTAGTGGAGGATCCCACAAGGAATGGTGTGCTGCTCAACCTTGCACTAAGAACCCGGAAAAGCCTCGTTGGACATGTGAAGGCTGTGAACTGTCCTAGGTAACCTCTATGACAGAGCTCTGCCAGAAACACAGTTTTGCCTTACAGTATAATTTCTGACTGCTGCTTGATTTTATTTTGATGGCTACTGTTCAGCAAATTGCCCCTTTGCTTCTCCTTCTTTCAGAGATGCAGTTTCATTTACGATTGTTCATGGGCTCCTTGCCCACACTGCCTCCTATGACTTAACTGAAGCTCTACTATTTTTGTTATTTACAATCATCTGCAGCCAGCAGCAGTTTTATGCTGGCAGATAAAAATCACACACTGGTCAGTCAGTGTTGTTTCACTGTGACTACCCCCAAGGGATGTGTTACCAAGAACCTCAGTTACTGGCTGCAGAGGGGGGTCACAATGTTAAACTGGCATCACAGACAGGCCCCTTGGCTCAGGTGCAGGGGTTGGGGGGATCCAGACCTGCTGGAACGTTTTTCTCCAGGAGAATGGAGAAAAGTGGATTACAGATTATTATACTGAGATTATTATCCTTTCAAGAAATCAGAAGGAAAATAATCTGTGCCTGTTGGGGTGGAAGCAGTTTCAGGTCTCACACGCACTTTGGAAAATGAATGGGAGAACATGAAGGAAGTACATGAGGCACTGTGATAGTCCTGGCTGTAAACTCTCTCTACAGACAACTCAGAACATTGCTGTCTTAGCTATTTTCTGAATGCCATCTTCATATCTACATATCTAGAGTAGAAGGGGAATGCATCTTCCAGGAAGAAGTTTTGTGCTGGGGTGAAGAAAGCCTTATAAAGCCACACCTTTGCAAAAGGTGTGTGTGTCACAACAGTGGCTATTCCCTGAAGTATACTGAGCCAGCTCCAAGACTGGGAATCACATGAGGATAAATCTTTTTCCAGACTAAGCCCTCAACAAAAGATTGTGTGTAAGCAACATAATCTATAGAGGAAAAACTTGATATGATTTTCTTTTATGGTAACTGAGATTTATTTACTGAGCACTGTACAATTCCTTCCTTGTAAAGGAGTAGCCTTTTATATCTTTGCCTCCTCAAAACACGTGCTGAAGTAGCTTTTTCCAGATGCTGTGCTTATTTCTCAAACTTTCTATTGAAGAGGGTTGTAAAATCTGCCATGTGACCACAAAGAGCAGCGCGTTCACTGAGCAATACTCGCTGTTCTGCAAGTTGCATTGCTGTGGCATCAGGGCTCCATATCTACAAAATAAAGGTTTGTGTAGTTAATTTGGTGGGCCTTTTGCAACAGAGGCACTAAGAAGATACTGTTAGCCAAAGAGAGGCATGTTCTAGCACTCCTTTCCACTGCGAGACATAGAAAAGAAGCAGTGTGGCCTCCCAGCAGAGGAGAGGTCAACAATGTGTGTGTGTACAAACAGAGCCTTCTCTTGTTGTCACTTCCAATCTGTATCATGCCATGGACTCTGATTACAGATAATGTGGGAAAGAAGATCTTAAGGTAATTATTTAAAATTACTGACTCGGGCTCATGATCCTCAGAGTGGAAAATAGTAATTAGCTGTAAAGTCATCAGCTATGTAGCCTCAGTCCTCTGAGACCATTGTAGAAACTAGCATAAATCAGGGTTAGGGAAATGATAAACAAACTCCAAACATAACTGCTCAGCCAGCAGTGGCGTTCTTTTCCTTTTCAAGGAGGAAAAAAAATTACAAAAATTACCTCACTGTGATTATGTTGTTCTGTTTCTCAGTTATTTCTAAGCGTGTATGACAAGACCTGGACAGAAAAGTTGTATTTCCACTATTCCAACTCTAGGTAGCAAATATTTAGTGTGCTGTGATCCATCTAGTTCAGTAAATGTCACTGCCAAAAGTCATCATGTGATAACTAATCAACAGGGCAAGTTAGAAGTTGGCGCCTATGCTGTGCAAATAGACTCCTATCTTTTAAAAGCAGGAGTATAAAAATATATATCATAAATGTAGTTGCATTTTAATTTTACTGTGGCTGCACTTTAATCCAATCTAAAAATACGATAAGAGATTTTGATTTTGATAAGAGGTTTTGATATATAAAACAAATATTTGATTTCCACAAATATATGTCATATATATGTTTGTGTAATTATAAATTATACATCCACAAACTCTTTAATTTACTCTTGTTTGGTGGCAACCTCTCCAGCTGTGTCACATCATCTCTAAGCTAGATGAATGCTTGGATTGTTGTGGGTTTTGATCTCAGCAAGAGATCAAAAGTGACCAGGGAACTGCACTCCTGTTTTGCTGCTGTACGTACTTTCCTGGGTCTGAAGGAGATGTCATTTTTGTCTTCTCTCGCTGCCAAGGATTTCCAATAAGCAGAACTGTCCTTGCGGGAACGCTTTGTCTTTTCAGGAACAGCTTCTTCCTCAGGTGCTGGGGATTCATCTGGAGACTGAAGGGCAAGAAGGTACCAATTTTACCAATGCATCATGTTCACAAGCAAGGCATGCATCCTGCATCTTCTGATGCTCTGCTATGATGTTTACTGAGGGGGTATTTTTCCTAATCTCTTCAGAACCTGTTTCTGTCAAAGCTGATTTTTAAAATCAAAAATTGCAAGGGCCACCCTTTTGAAAGGTAAAAGGCACCTCTCTTCCTTGGGCACTAAAACATTAACTGCTCTTTGTGACTCCCAAGACAGTCGCCTTGTACCGCTGGTGATCCCATCCTCTTCCAAGTGAGGAATGAACAGGCACCTAAGGCTGTCTTCCTCCTGCCTCTGAAAGTCCTGTGCTGCCCCTGACATTCAAAACCTTTGTGCAAGGGGATGCCAACATTTAGCTACTGGGACATATTTACTGCACTGTCCAGGGCAGCTGAAGGACACCTCCAGCCACGCAGATACAATTTCAACTTCTCCCTAAACAGCAAGCTGGACGTGACTAAAAGTGCCACTGGTGAATCAGGAAGGTCTCATCCACAGGAGGAGAACCTGGATGTGGGCACAGAGGCTGGTATCAGCTTGGGAATAGGGCAATGCTGAGCTGCTCAAGACTCCCAGAGGGTGCAGGAAAAGCATTCAGAAATAAAACAGGCAAACATCAGTGTGGGATTTGAGAAACAGGACTCAGGTAAATCGTGGAAGAGGAAGGATATGGCACAAAATGGAAAATAGGAAGTTAGCAAGCCTGGTATTTTCTCAGTGAGTTCAACTAGGAGAATAAAAAACCTTTAACCAGTTTGAAGGGTATTGCTCTTATCTTGTGAAAAAAGAGGTTCTCCCTTTAAGAAATTATGGTTACCAGTTGTTCAGTGTTTACCACAACAGAGGTGGATGAACATATACTTCAGGAGGAGGGAAAAAGAAAAGGAAATCTTTTTCTGTGTCTGCTAGTGATACAGAACATCATTCTGATGTGTGTCTGGGGAAGACATGAAGTTTGTCTAATTAGCAAGAAAAATTTCAACCAATGAACAAGTTCTAATACTCACAAGAACAGTATGAGCATCTGAAAATACTCACTTTAACAAAGCTGCCCAAGTTACAGAGTTAGAGAGGAACGGGTGGCAAAGAATAGAAAGAAAGCAGCTCCCTGCTAACTATTAGCAAATCAGTCCTTTGTTACCATCTCTCATACCTCTGTTTTCACAGATTTCGGTGGCTCTGGTGGTTTTGCCTTCCCACCTTTTGCTGCCTTTGCTTCTTCTTTTTCTTGTTCTTCTGCCAAAATTTGCAGTTGATTTTCAAGCAGTTCAATTATTGTAGCATCTTCAAGTACTTCAGCAAGATCGAGAGCACTCCTTCCTGTATTTAAAAAAATAAATATCTGTGTAAACCATGAAAATTAACTTTGGCACTGGTTTATTGCAGCTGGACAATCAACTGAATTTAATATGGCCAGTGTTTTATTACCTATCCCATGTACCAGCAGCGTGCCTGACATTGGTGTGAGGAGCAGTGGTCATCAGCACTGCTTGCAGAAATAAGAGCTGGCAGACACCAGCCCTGAAACTCGTTTTGCAGGAATATTGCTGGAATTCTTGTATTGCTTGCTTTCTTCTTAATGTTCTGCCATTTGCAGCCTAATACCCTGGTCCCGCAGGTTGTCATTTTGATCTCTGAGAGCTGAGAGCATTTAGCACTAGGAGATGGTCTGCATTCCTGACCTTGTGCTGTGCTGGCCATCTCCTTCTGCCTCTGCTTGCTCTGTGGCTGGCAAGGGAAAGCCCCCTGATGGAAATGAACAGCTTCGGTGCTTAATGAAGGAAAAAAATCTGTCCTGGTTCTTATGAGACTCTGGCTGTAAAGTATCTGTGAGACTGAACTGCTGTGTGAATCACAACTCCACATGATACAAGGAATAAGGAATACACATCCCTTCTACAAGCAGGGTTTCACCACTAGGCATTTTGGCAAGGAAAGTCTCATTGTGTAGCAATGCTGCTTCCTATGTTAGAGCAACAGCTTGAAAGGTGATGCATGTGAACT